TCTATGTCGACCACCTGAAACAATCACAACCCTTTTGTATTGTAATTGCTGAAGGACGGATGAAAAGTGGAATGTTATGCTCGAACTTTGACAACTCACGACGACCATGGTTTGAGGTTTGAAGTTTTTTTGTTATGAGGAAGAAAGAAGCGTTACCGTGAATAGAGAACAAAAGTCCTTTATACACTTAATAGAATATCTTCAAACTAACTGCAATACCTTTATCTCTACATCCACAGCTGCTTTTCCAGAACTCATTCCCTTCTTCAAATAAATATCCTTATCCCTGGTAAAATCGAAGTACCTACGTGATACGTCCTGACGTTTCGGTCATACCATAGGCAAGTTGAAATTTGACGTGTTTAAAAGTATCTCGCATCCTGGTCATCTGCTCCCTGGTTATCGGAGTTCCTCCAAACGTCACTGAATACAGGCTTTTTAAATTGTAGTTTTCTTAATTTGGTACTTCAAGTAGGCCATATGAGAATAAGGGGGAAATTAAAGAAGAAGTAACCTAAAATTAATGTTTTTAAAAATAATGTAGGTAATTCTGAAATGTTTCACTCACTCTATATTTATCGAACAATTTCAATACTCCTACGGGCGTTGGGTTTGTTGAAAAAACTCTTTGACCACCTTTTATGTAAGTCAGCATTAAACATATTATTGCTGATATCCAATACAGGGTGGTCAAGTGGAAGTTTACATCTGATCTCATAAAGTCTGAATCTCTATAATGAAAAGGGTGTTTTTACCGTACACGAAATGCATGTTGGCCATTTGTTGGAAAGTGTAAATTTACCATTTTTGTTATAAATTACAGTTTGCTCTGATTTATATTATGATAAATGATTTTACATATGTCACCACCGAAAAATAACGATATTTGCGAACTGATATTTTTTTGTGGCGAGACATTTTGAGTAGCGTTTTTCTCGAAAACGGTTGGTTCCATGACTTTGAAACAAGAGCATCTTTTTAACGTATAATTATCTGGAGAATTGTATTCCAAGATGGAGAATTAAAAAAAAACACAAAAAATATGCACGCCCATGGTCATCATTAATCCGATTCGATTCGAAACAGTTTAAAATGCCTATAGCGCCCCCAGGAGGCATTTTCGGTTATCTGTTTATAGCAACTTTTTCTTTTACTTTTACGTGTAGAATTACCCCCAAAATAACATTATACTACCCAGTAAGCACAAGCTAGCCGGCCCGCATACTTGTATTTGTTCCGGCGTTTACTCTGACAGCATAACTGAAGATCTAACCCTAGGCCAATATGAATCACCTTATGTAAGGAACAAACTAGCCAAGAGTGGAAGGGGCCATAATCTGCAAAAATCTGAGAAGTACCAATTAATCACAACCTAACAATAATCAATCATTATTACTGAAAACAGCGTAACAGTGTAAATTATTCAATCATTAGGTAAGAACGTCACAAAACATAAATAAGCATAAAATTAAGAGGCCAGCCTCAACAAAATTAAAATGTTTAAAACTTAACGAATGAAAATAAAATAAACAACCAGTTCCGATATTTGCCTAACATAAACATAAACATAAACCACTAAACAGCAATTATATAGAATAAATGTAACTTCTAATGGTTGGAAAAGAAAAAGAAAACGTAAATACAATTTCTACCACAAAATAAAGACAACTATCTATCGATAGTTCTCGACCCCTACACTGACGAAACGGTTTTCGCACAGTGGGGCAAACAATTGCTCACAACAGTTTCCGAATTTCAGCAGACTACAAGACCAGCAAAGATAGGTCCTAGCAGCGTACTAACCAACCAAACCTCATTCATACATGAACCCCAAATAAATGGGGGCATTACTAAATCCCTAGTTGAGGGGGATTCCGTATTGTTTTGCCTCCTTGTCCCGTACTCCACTAGCCTAAATCTGGCGTATGGCCCGGCCCGGCGAAAAAATTCCGGGAGTGGCCTTAACCATCCACACTGTCATCCACGACCTCCTAGGCGAGATTTACCAACCGGGGTGAAAATGCGGATCGACCAAACACAGGCAATGCTGTTCAGTGGCGGGATAAGTAGGAGAACTGAAAGGGAGTGAAATATCCTGGGAGATCAGTGTAAGGCGTTGCCGATGGGGCCTGCCATACGTTCCTTATACTCATATACTTAATTTTAATTTTATTTTAATTATTTTTATCGTTTCAAAACTCACGTGCGCGTGCTGATTAAATAATCAAACCAATAACCTCGCGCCCCTAGGCACGTGCCTAGTTTGCAGACTGCAATGAAGGTTCGAAAATATTCCAGAAATATTCCCTATCGCCTAGGAATAATCCGCTTCAATCTAGGAATATTCCTAGAATGATCCTCTAAAACTTCCAGGCACCATCTAAGAACATTCCCAGTGAATGTTCTTTATATTTAAAAAACAATAAATTGGTATAAATATTTTATATTTGAATTATGTCTATTGACAAGATTATAGTGTTCAGTTATAGTTGTAAACCACAGAGATGTGTTTAGAGACATATCAATGTCTCTGGGTGCGGTATAAAGAGTCTACAATAAAGGAAAACATTAAAACTGGCGCGTTGAGTTCATCGGTAACTATCGGTTCTGTCCGAGATAAATTGAAGACTACCATTAATTCGCAGTCTCAGAATTGTCACTGTGTAAGAAGTATCTATAAAGTTGTTAAACGACCATTTTACGATTGAAAAAGGTAATTAATTGTTTTTAAACATTTTTTACGTATTGACTGGTACGAATATGTTGTGTTGAAGACTGCAACACAACATATTGGTACTTGCAGTAGTATTTATTGTTCTTCATGAACATAAGGAAAGCGCCATTAATTCGTTGTTTGGATTTTGTTAACCACGTTTTAGCATCGGTTAGTTCAAATGAATGAAAATGGTTCTTTTCACTCCCTTTATGACATTTCTTTGGGCAAAAAATATAATATTTTTTGTTGTATAGTGTTACTGATACCGCAAGGTTTATTTTAGTTAGGTAAGTTTAAACTGTATTTTATAAATTACTAACACCTTTTCAATATTTGGGCATTAATTAACCTTAATTGCTATTGCTCGTTTTTTGTGTTTGTTTCGTTATATACCGTATCTTCATTTGTAAGCTATACATAGGGAAAATACATTGCAGGTGGACCAGACAAGTCGAAGTGAGATAGCAATTTGGTTAACAAAGGCGCAACGCAGGCTCGATGCCGCTCCTTAATAGGTATGTAAATTATTTATTTATTAAAATTTTATAAAAAATATTGTTTATTTTTAAAAGAATAATGTTATTTTTAAATAAAATGGTTTTGTCACAATTTTGCAGCTCTGTTATTATTAATACTATACTCCACAAATCAAAGTCCCACCATGTGACATATAAATAATTAAGGTTAATTTCCTAAATGCAATGCAATATATGAACTTTTTGTGTATAAAGGTCTTAATTTAGAACCAAAAAATACATATATTGTATTATTTTTAGAAAGACGAAATTAGCTTACTGACAAAAATGAACCTTAATTATTTTTATCAAAGTCACGTGGTGGAGCATAGTTCCTGTAAAAATTCCTTAAACCGGCGTAAGGAACATTCCCAAAACGTTCCTGGGTTTAAGAGGCAATAAGGGCTGGGAATAATCCCCAAATTATATCAAGGAATACTCCCCTAACAATACTTGAGTCTTCTGCAAGCAGATACATGGAATATTCTTTTTATGATGCCTGGGTTAACCAAAACGCGGACATTTTATTACGCCAGGAATATTCCTGGGAATATTCTGGGACGCTTGGAATAATCCTGGGAATATTCCTGACATGTGCAGGGAATGTGATTTTGCGGTCTGGGTAGGGATAATCCGCCTCTGCGTAGCCTACGTAGGAGTAGCCTTTCATGCGGTTTTCCTGCGTTTGCTTTCTTTTGTTTATAAGGTGACGGGTTCTTTTGGGTTTTTCCGGAGGCGATTCTTCGTTGTTTTCTGTTTTGATGTTTGTTTGTATGGCTTGTTCCAACTCATCATATTCATCGGTTGAGTATGCGTCCAATATTTCATTTTTGATATTTGCGATTGTGGTTTGGTATTCTTCCATTTTTGGAGTTTTTAAAATTACCATTTTTACATTGTTTATGTTTCTTTTTCATTTCCTAAAACAAAGTAGATAATAAAATAAATAAATAAAACAACAAACCTGTCAATATTTACGGAAAACAAAATTTTATAAAAACCGTGTAAAAAATCGATTACATTTTTTGACTGCATAAAAATCTTGTTCTTATTCCAGCGATTTGCGTTGGGTAAATAAATCAGCAAATAAAACAAATCTGTCAATATTTACGGAAAACCCGCTTAAAACAAGATTTTTATTGTTTGAGAACAAAAACAAAATTTTATAAAAACCCTGTATACAAAATCGATCAAAAGTTTTTACTGCATAAAAATCCTGTCCTTATTCCAGCGATTTGCGTTATGTTAATAGATCAGCAAATAAAACAAAACAACAAGCCTGTCAATATTTACGGAAAACTCGCTTAAAACAAGATTTTTATTGTTAAAGAACAAAAGCAAAATTTGATAAAAACCCTGTATAAAAAAATTGGTAAATATTTTTTGACTGCATAAAAATGCTGTCCTTATTCCAGCGATTTGCGTTAGATAAATAAATCAGCAATAAAACAAAATAACAAACCTGTCAATATTTTCGGAAAACCCGCTTAAAACAGGAAAATAACTCTGGGAGATCAGTATATGGCGATACCGATGGGGCCAGCCATAAGTTCTCATACTCATACTCATACATACACCAAAATTTGAGCCAACTATCTCAACGAAAGTTTGAGTATATCGTTTCCGTAATATGATATAATTTAAATTATCAAAAATGTATTAAAATTTTGATAATATTACGGGGATTTTGTTTTAACAGCGTTACAAACGTTACAAATAAGACAATTGATTACAATTGGGCTTAATACAAAAGAAACAAATTTTTTATTAATATTGACACTTAACTAATTTATTTGGAGTTTCCAAGTTTAAGTTACAATTTTTTGTACATTTCCCTAATCCGCCTCCTCTGAAACTTGCCGCTCGGCGTCTTGGAAATAGAATCGACAAACTTGATTCCGCCCCTCAACCTCTGCCGATCGGCAACCCGCTCGTTAACGAACTTATGCAACTCCTCGACACTAACCACCTGGTTATTTTTTAAGATGATGCAAGCGGTCGGTACATCCCCGTCGGCGCCGTGGGGAATCCCAAAAACCACGGCCTCCTCGATCGCCGGGTGTTCCATCAAAACCTGCTCGATGGAGTTGGGTACGATGTGCCACGATTGATACTTGAACATTTCCTTAATACGGTCCACGATGTACACGCACTCGTCTTCATCGTAGTAGCCGACATCTCCCGTCTTCAGGTAGCCTTCTTTGTCGAAATTGTGTGACATTTCCGAGTTCTTGTGGTAACCGTTTGGGATTGATGCTGGTTTGACCAAGATTTCCCCGTTTTGGTTGGGCGGGAGGAGCTTTCTTGTTTCTATGTCGACTATCTGAAACAATCACATAACCTTTTTGTGTTGTAATTGTTAAAGGACTTCCAGAGACGGATGAAAAGTGGAATGTTATGCTCGAACTTTGACAACTCACGACGACCATGGTCTGAGGTTTGAAATGTTTTTGTTATGAGGAAGAAAGAAGCGTTACCGTGAATGGAGAACCAAAGTCCTTTATACACTTCATGGAATGTCTTTAAACTTTAACTGCAATACCTTTATCTCCACATCCACGGCTGCTTTTCCAGAACTCATTTCCTTCTTCAAATAAATATCCTTATCCCTGGTAAAATCGAAGTGCGTGATACATCCTGACGTCTCCGTCATACCATAGGCAACTTGAAATTTGACGTGTTTAAAAGTATCTCGCATCCTGGTTATCTGCTCCGTGGTCATCGGAGTCCCTCCAAACGTCACTGAATACAGACTTTCTAAATTGTATTTTTCCAAATTTGGTACTTCAAGTAGGCCATATGAGAATAAGGGGGGAAATAAAGTAGAAGTAACCTAAAATAAATGTTTTTAAAAATAATTTAATTCTGAAATGTTCCACTCACTTTATATTTATCGAACAATTTCAATACTCCTACGGGCGTTGGGTTTGATGAAAAAACTCTTTGACCACCTTTTATGTAAGTCCGCATTAAGCATATTATTGCTGATATCCAATACAGGGTGGTTAAGTGGAAGTTTACATCTGATCTCAAAAAGTCTGAGTCTCTATAATGAAAATTGCGACTTTTTGATGTATGATATTACACGAGTTACAAAAATGTTAATGTAAAAAATAATGCAATTGTTATTTTTTTTAATGGTAATGTAGTTGAATACATCATTAAAAAAATTGTATTGAGAAATATTTTCATTACATATTAAAAAATTAATGAGGAATGTCGAACAATACATTACTCATTAAAAAATAAAAAATGAGTAATGAGAGACCGTACATTATACATTAAAAAAAATGTGTAACGAAAGACATTACCCATTACATCAGTGAAAAATGATCAGGGGTAGGGTTGATGGGGTGAGTTTTTATATGGGGTATTTTTCACCAAGTCTGACAGTTTGAAAAATGTTGATTTTCGATTTGTTTTTCTATATTTTTAAGTACCCATTAAAAATCCCTTTCTGGTAAAGTTTGATATTTTTTTATTACTCGTGCAAAATATCAAATTTTTAAAACAATCGCGTTTTTTGTTTTTTTTGCTGCTAATTTCTTTAATAATGATCCGAATTGAAATTTTTATTTCTTAATATTTTCGTGTATCAAAATTTTTCAAAGCATATTTAATTTTCAAACTGTTTGTATTCTTCGATTTTTTTGCAAATTTTTTAAGTTAAACTTCTACCTACTCAAGAAATTTTAAGCCAGGGTTGATAGGGTGGTAGTAAAAGAAAATGTTGCTATAAACAGATGTCCAAAAATGCCTCCTGGGGGAGCTATGGGCATTTTAAACCGTTTCACAAAATCAGGTTTTTATTATTTCAGAAATGGTTGGTGCTAAAATAATGATGCTTTATTTCTGAGATATTTTTAAGCAAGAAATCATCTGGTGGTGTCAAATTGGATAAATGAATGAATTGAAAATTCCAAGTTTATTTTTTATGGATTTAAAACTCTCCTCAACGTTATAAATTGGGACTGCATACACCAATGATTTTAAACACCCCCACACACAGAAGTGTATTTAAATCTGGAGAACAAGGAGGCCACGGCATTTGCCCTCCTCGTCCTATCCATCGGGTGGCGTAAACTTCATCTAAATGAGTCCTTCCGTTCGCAGAAAAATGGGGTCGGGCGCCATTAAACATAAAAATCATCGACAATCTTAAATGGTAGGGCACGTCTTCAAGGAGGCCAATGAAAACTTTTTGGAGAAAATACAAGTATGTTTCACCGTTCAGTCGATTTGGTAAGATGTGAGGACCTATCAAGAAATCGCCAATTATTCATGCCCAAATCTTTGCTGATGCCTTGATTCAATAAAGACATGCGGGTATTTATCAGCCCATGCATGACTCCTATGAAAATTAATAATTTCATCCCTATTGAATCCGGTAATCGTTGGTAAACATAATTTTTCAATAAATTTGGGGTCTTCATGCCATTTTGTTCTTAACCATCGACAGAATTCTAGTCTACGTTGTTCGTGCATTATTTCCCAAACTGTACTTTGTGGAACGTCCTCTTGCATAGCAATTCTTTTAGTGCTTGTCCCAAGATTAGCGGCAACTACTTCCAGAACCGTTTCTTTGTTTTCCAATGTTCGAGTTGTTCGATTTCTCCCGCAATCACCTTTGTTTACTTTAAAAGTGCCAGTTTCACACAGTCTTTGATGTAAACTGGTAAACGTCTGTTCACATGGGGGTTTACCCGAGAATGCTTCTTGGTACAATCTTAGAGTTTCGCGACTATATTACCGACCTTACCGTAGATACATGAAATGTATGATGGCCATTTCTTGGAAAGTGTAATTTACCATTTTTGTTAGACAGTTTGCTCTGATTTATGTTATGACCAATGACTTGACATTTGTCACCACTTACAAAATAACGATATTTGCGAAGCGATATTTTTTTTCGGCGAGACACTTTGAATAGCGTTTTTCTCGAAAACGGTTGGCTCCATGACTTTGAAACAAGAGCACCTTTTTTACGTATAATTATCTGGAAAATTCTATTCCAATATCGAGAATTAATGGTCATCATTTATCCGTTTTGATTTGAAACAGTTTAAAATGCCTATGGCGCCCCCAGGAGGCATTTTCGGATATCTGTTTATAGCAACTTTTTCTTTTATTTTTACGTGTAGAATCACCCCCCAAAATAACGTTTTATTAACAGCCTGTATATATTTACTATGTACTTACAAAATATTCATTGCGGTTTTTAAAAGAGCATCATGACTACAGCAAATGCCTTTAGGCAATCCAGTAGTGCCACTACTGAAAAAAATAAAAGCTGTTTCCTTGGAACTGAAAACTACAGGCTCAACAGTGGCTTCATCTTTATATTCTTTCGTTAAATCTTCAAAGTTTAAATGCCTGGCAAATTTACCAATCACTACTATTTTGGGGGCGCATCCCACCCAATCAATGGAATTTTCGATCAATTCCACATACGTATTTTCAACGAAGATGAATTTTGGTTTCACAAGATTGATGCAGTGCTTGCAGTCGATGAGGGATAACGTCGGGTCTATTGAAGCTATTTTAGCCCCTAAGAATAACCCTGCTATTAGAGGGATTACGTTATTTAGGTTATTCCTCGAACAAATCGTTATAATGTCGTCTTTTTGTAGCCCATGTTCTCTTAGACTCAAAGCCAATCTTCGAGCTCTTAAATGGGCTTGAGCGTATGTTTCTTTTAGGTCCAAATCTGCGTCGATCTAAATATAATTGTTAAAAGTTAAAATGTAGGTTTTAAGAGTCCAATATTTTAGAATTTTCCCAAATTACCTGGAATATATTATTTGCGTGCTTCTGGGCAGCATCATGCATATATTTCCCCAAATTTCCATAATCCACATTGGTATGTTTTCCTCTTGGGCCTTTAATAACTCTTGCCATTTCTCATAAAAAGCACTCCAGGTATCGATACTTACGTAAACTGACCCTGGTTGTTCTTGATTTTATTCTTTTTAAGTAATTTTTTATGATGATTAAATAATTAGTGTTTATTCTGAATCTTAAAATGTGTAACTACCGAAATCCATGAATAAAAAGCGGCTTAAAATATATTTTTTTAAAATCTCTGGTGACACAAAACAAATAATTTCATTGTTATAGAATATCCTAATTTTAACAAGATAAAAAATAGGCAATGCCTTTTAAGATTAAATATTACGGGTATATACATAATAATTTATATTTGTTTAATTTAATTGATAAGTAGCATTTTTAGTGGATAAAACGTATTGGCTACTTATACTATAGTCCTATAAGAACTGTAAAGTGTATTGCCAAAATCTCAGCCACGTGGTTAGGGTTTTAAAATTTACGGAAAAATTTGCCGGAGGAAAAAACCGTTTTTTTTTTCGAAAAAAAAAATCGGAAAAAATTGACCTTTTCATTTGTTTCATTTTATCCGTACACTTATATTGAGAAAATAGTGAATTTACGACACTGATTATAATCATAATATTATGATTATAATAATTATTCTTGCATATTTGCATTAAATTTAGCATTTTTGTGTTTAATGAGTGCTTGATTGAAGATTTAAAAAGTGGTTAAATCAAACGAATAAAAATGTTGAAGCAAATTTAAAATATTTTTGTTTTCGCTCTAACACAAGAATTTATTTAAACTAAAATAAAATTTGCATGTTCACTGAACGGTTAATTGAAAAAACTCTTATAATGATGTTTGGAATTCGTTGTGGGAAAATAAAATGCATTGATTTAATACATGTAAAAACTTCCAATTAAGTATCTTTAAAATGTAATTCTAAATGGTAAATATCTTAGCTTGACTTAGAAGAAGGAACAACATGTTGGAAGGAGAATTTACTAACTGAGTTTGTGTCCAGAGTGGTTGGTTGCATATGCTGTATTTGTGTTTGCTGTCCTAAACAAATAAACAAATAAAAATATATTATAACCTTAACAACCCAAGTAGCATCGCACGTCATTTTGACGTCATACGTCGTCGTATGACTTAAATATAGCGTTAATATGAGGTACCTACCCGATATTAAGACGCGTTCGGCAAATAGTAAATAATGAAATATTTTTGTTTAAATAAAAACAGTAACAAAAAACTATATGCACAAAATACATATTAACAATTAAGGTATTATCAGAGATAAAGAAGGTTATTACGGCCAACTTTACTACTCTTTAATTTCTATCCTCTTCTCTTTCCAGAATATTATTTAAGAATCTCATTATCTTTGCTTTCTATGAATGGATATTATAACTTACAATGAATACTAAAATTATAATAATGTAAGAATACAACTTGCAAATAATAACTGGAATTAAAATAATTCGAAGACATAAAATTAACACTAATTAAATTTTACTGTCAAACATGGGTATCATAGCTCGAAATATAAGCACACCCCGTTAAAATATGTGTTAATGAAAATAAATATAATAATCTCTCAAATAATTTCTTAATTATTTCTCGTCACCTGAAACCAAGAAATCACTTAAGCATGTAGCAAGAACGTGGCAATGACCACCGCAATTATATAATCAAGCTTTGCCACATTCAAGGTTTGGAAATATCAGTTTTCGGTACAATTTCGCGCGTTTACCGGTCTTGCTAACCTTTTTTATGATTTTTTGGAACAATATCAATAAAACTCAACATAAAAAATATGTACTTATATCTAACACATATTACATATTTACAATAAGTAGCATTTATAACTGTGGTAGTCGAATTTTGTCGAACTCGCAACTAAATGGCAACAGTGGTTCTTCTAATTTACACTCTATAATATCTTCCACTATTTCAATTTCTGTTCTAATGTTCGCAGGTTCTACTGCTTTAGCCCTTTTCCTCAAAATTTTCGTCTTATCGTTCATATTAAAACAATTGTAACGGCCTTCCCAGCAAACATGGTGACGTCATAATCACGGCATTTTTTGGTCACAAGTTACGTCATATTCACCCTTAACATCACGTCAAAATCACGTCTTTGAAACGGGCAAATGTCACAGACCGTTGACGTCATATTAGGACGTACAAATAACGTCATTTGAAGACGTCTATATGACGTAAGTACTGACGTCTTAAAGACGTACAAGATTTGTCATTTATTGTAATAAATAAAACAAGGAAATATATTATAAATGTCATATATTATAAAATATAAATAAATAAATAAATAAACTTAATAGAGTAGACCTATCCCATAAATCGAACATTATGTATAGCTCGAGCTATCATGCGTGATAAAGCACCTTGTCGTATTTGCACTGTTGTTTATAAGGTGGCCAGTAAACTTCTTTTTTGCGAGGAGTTAGCCACTTTGTATTGATAGCGGAAATTCCCCCGTCACCGTCGTGTGCAAACTCAACTACGGCGTACATCTTTTAAACACCTAGTACAGGTATAGGTAAATAAATTAAGAATGATTTAATAATTATGTAAAACCTACCTATTGATCCGCAGTTACTGCACTTAATTGTAGATTTGCACAACAGTTATTAAGTAACTTAATTTAACCGAATAACAGAATGAACGCCACCGCTGTAGTGCACCGTTGCAAAACATGGACGGTTACAAATGATCAAGCAATCGCAGCCTGCCACTAAAGTCAGCTGATCTCACAGTAGTCAGCTGACTGAATCACAGTCTGTGATTGGTGGTATCGAGCACGGCGTTCTTTACTTCCCGCCATGTATCGACACTTCACAAGTTCCACGAATTTTTGTCTGTTTTTTTATTCGGAATAATATAAATACCTATATAGGTATTGACAGCAATGAAATTGTAAAACTAAATTTAGAATTAAAAAATATTTTGTTTAAAATTTCGTTATTGTCCTGTAGGATAATTATTTGTTCATAGACGGATTTGCGTGTCATCGATGATATGGATTTTTTTTCTGATAAAAAAATAAGTTTTGATCTACAAAAAAATTGGGATTTTTTTTTAGGTAGTACGATCTATACCTACTATAGTATACATATTATTATATATTTATTACGTGATATAAAATCACCTATTGAAAACGTCAGAAAGACGCAACATAAACACGTCTAAATGACGTCGGAAATGTGACGTCATAAACCCGTCTTTTATTGGTCATGTGACGTCGCCGACGAAAGGTGACCTTAAAATGTCGTCCTAATGACGTAACCTTGCTAGCTGGGTTTTTCTTTCTTGGTTTTATTGCATTCCGCTGATTTTTTTGGTGTTTTTATTTCGGCGATTTTCTGCGTTTCCCCGTTACAACTCCTAACCTAAGATTGCACCATGGACCCCCAAACCTAGGGACCCCAAGAACATTTTTTTGCACACCGGCTTTTGTTTGTCTTTGATCAAGTGGTATTTGTACGTTCCGGATCTTCTGGAAACGTTCAAAACTCGTGCATGTTTTTTTGGTATTAAGTCTATTAAAGAGGTGACGTAACTTTTTGTTCGTCCCACGTAGTTCCAGAATTCGTGGAAAACTTTTTGCAGTTCTTTTTTGCTGAACGACGCGCAGTGTTTGCGGTTTGTGGCGCAGAAAATCGAATTGCAAAACTTTTGGGTTCTGGGCGGTCTCATTTGGTTTTGTATTATTTTTCCGTCCTCATCTCTCGAGTAACCCAAGTAAGGTATGGTCCTTTAATTATTTTTATGCGGCTTACGTCTCTTGGCTTGACTAACCTCGAGTCTGGAGAAGGCTCAACTCTGCTTTTGATCGAATCTAAGTTGTATATTTCTTTCACCTCAATTTTTATTGGTTTTGGAACCTCCACCTCAATCTCTGGCACTGTCTACATTACTTTTAACCCAGCTCTGCACCATATTTTTACCTAGACCCAATGACCCCATGAACATGTTTTTGCACACAGGTAATCGAACTTTCCCCATTTCCAGATAATAATTGAAAGTCCCCAATCTCCTTGATGGCCCTTTGAGCCTCGCGCTCTTCTTGGGCACATAATTCACCAAACCCAGCACATACTCCCTTTTTTCCTCCCAACTCAGCTCCCAGAAGTCGTCGAACATTTTTTCCAGGACTTCCTTGGGGAATACCAGGCATTTTTTGCTTTTTATGCGCAGTGAGCCGAGTTGCCCTTTGGCAGCGCGAGGGGCGCTCTTGATTGTGTGAGACCGTTTTTTGTTCTCACTATAGGCTACGTGAGAACAAAGGCTACTTCTACGAATACGTAAAGAAGTAGCCTTTCATGCGGTTCTCCTGCTCTTGATTTCTTTTGTTTATCAGGTGACGGTTCTTTTGGGTTTTTTTTGGAGGCGATTCTTTGTTGTTTTCTGTTTTGACGTTTGTTTGTACAGCTTGATCCAACTCATCATATTCATCGGTTGTGTATGCGTCCAATATTTCATTTTTGATATTTGCGATTGTGGTTAGGTAATCCTCGAGGATTACCTAACCACAATCGCAAATAAAAAATAAGCATAAATAATGTAATAATGAATCCATTATTACATTATTTATGCTTATTTTTCATTTTGACTGCATAAAAATCCTGTAGGTACTTAGTACAGCGATTTGCGTTGAGTAAATAAATTAGCAAATAAAACAAAACAACAAACCTATCAATCTTTACGGAAAACCCGCTAAAATAAATTTTTATTGTATCAAAACAAAAACAAAATTTTATAAAACCGTGTAAAAAATCGATCAACTTTTTTGACCGGCGATTTGCGTTAGGTTAATAGATCAGCAAATAAAACAAAACAACAAGCCTGTCAATATTTATGGAAAACTCGCCTAAAACAAGATTTTTATTATTGAAAAAGAAAAGAAAAATTTGATAAAAACCCTGTATAAAAAATCGATAAATATTTTTTGATAAAAATCCTGTCCCTATTCCAGCGATTTGCGGTTTGGTAAATAAAAAAGCAAATAAAACAAAACAACAAACGGTCTGTTACAAACCTGTCAATATTTACGGAAAACCAGCTTAAAACAAGATTTTTATTATTTGAAAACAAACACAAAATTTTATTAAAAAAACCCTGTATGAAAAATCGTTAAATTTTTTAGAATGCATAATAGCGATTTGGGATAGGTAAATAAATCAGCAAATAAAACAAAACATTAAACTTGTCAATAATCACGGAAAGTCGCTAAAAAAAAGATTTTTTTATTGTGTTTTAACATGCAAAACTTTAATGTTGTCTTTTTACAAAAAATCTGCGAAACCCCGTTGAAAACACTCAAAATATACAGATAACAAAACACCGTTAAAATGGGGTTAGGGCAACTACTTGTAAGGTAAATGTCCCAAATTCAGACACATTAAGAATAACTTTTCAGTTTTTATGAAATAAAATTTTAAAATTAAACTTTATCGTTATGTTTTTGTATCCTTAATGTATTTTGGGGATTTTAATATTATGTTTAATTAGTTGTAATAGTTAAATTTGAAAAAAACATAAAAAAAAATAAAAAAATAAAATCTTTGAAAAGGAACGTAAATCCGACACGACAAAAGAAATATTGACTATAATTCAGACATAGCCATGATCATTATTCAGACAGTGACTTTAATTACGTCAATTAATTAACGTAATTCCGACATTTTATTAATAAAATCAAACTTAGGGTATGTTCCGTAAATCAACTTGGTTGGTTTGGTTTCGGTTAAGGTGTCCCGTAAATGAAAAATTTCTGAAAATTATGTAGTTAAGAAACGCGGTTCCTGAAAAATAGGTTAATCAATCGTTACCGAAACGACCGACGCTGTATGATCGGTTAAATCGGTTACCAGTGCTGCAAACCAAATGGAAACAGTGTTGCCCTAAACAAAATTACTGTTTTTTGTTGGTTATCTAACCTAAAAATATAACACAGGAGCAGACTTCGCATACAAAATACTAGTGTTCGCGATAGTGGGAAAAAATCAATATCGATAGTTTCGATGTCGATAGTTTCAAATATCGAAACTATCGATAGTTTATCGATAGTCTTTTATATACCTATTTAGGGATGCACCGGAATTCCGGCGGTACCACTAAATCCGGCCGATCCGGCCAGTTGGATCGCTCCGGCCGGATCGGTATTTTCTTTTACCAAAAAATTAATCTATTCTCTGGAACTTTAAATAGAGACACTTTCTCTAAACAACTTTTTTACCCACCATTACACGTAGGCATTAAAATACGTTTTGTCCAAAAATAATTGAATTCAGTATTATAGGGTGTTTTAGGTTTGTTTATGTAACTATAGAAATATTATTAAAAATATATGCAAGTTGTAGTTTTTGACACAAATAAAAGTTTCAATAAAAAATCTTAAGTTGGGTTATGTTTTTTCAAATAAAGGTGTCCCGTAAATATGAACTAACCGAGAAAACCAGGAATTTATTTCAATAACCAGACCGGTAACTCGTGTGTATTTACGGAACATATCCTTAGACGCAAAGTTTTGTTTTCTTCTCGTTTTCTTTTACGATTTTCTTTTTCTTCTTCTAGTTTTTTCTGTCGTTCTTCTTTATTGATATGGTACTCCCTCCAGGCATCCGATGTTCCAACTGAAGGCAACTTTACTTTTTTTTATCAGTGTTCTTTTTACTTGTAGCTGGATCTGGCCAAAAAAGGGACTTTTTAAAAGGAGTAGGTATAGATACTCCTGGAAGAATATTTGTAAACCTTTCGTTTTTTTCCTCATTTGTATCTCTTGAAACCAGTTTTTTATTTTTTTCTGCAGTGATAGATGCACGGGCTGTTGACAAATTTTGGGTTAATCGTTCACTAATGCGTGGATGTCTTTTAAGAAATCCCTCAATCCAATGACGACCAGGTCTTCCATCTGCAAATTTGTTGGGACGTTTTAATTGCTTAACTAATAGAGCAACTCTATCCAGTAGTTGGTCTTTGGTAACAGGAAAACTCTTTACACCCATGTTTACTATACATTGCTCCAGAAGATCTTCATCTGATGTTAAAATTGTTGATGCTTCACTTTTGCAGTCTTCTGGATAAATACCCTTAATTTTTCCGATTAAAGTTGTTCTGGGAACTTTAAATTCTTTAGCTAAGTTGCAAAAGGTACCCCTTGTTTTACAGCATCTAAGGCTCGACAAAGGTTTTCTTTTGAGTATGTGCAGTACTTCCTTATATTTATATTGTGTATTGTGTTATATTGTATATTGGTATCATCGAGAAAGCTATGTTATTATAATAAATAAAAATAAGGAATATATAAATGTTTATTATTAAAAAACAAGTAAAAGTTTAAAAAGCAAACAGGTTACACCTAATCAATAAATCTTATGGAGAATTGAATAGAATACCTGTTGCCCTAATTCAGACATAAGATGCCCATTAATTCGACACCACTGTCTGATATATGTCCACAGCTTAAAAACAAAACTTTAAATGTGGAAAAGGATAAAAAACATGTTAATATTAAAAAAAAAGAGTTAGCACTATATTTTGTCTCTTCTGAATTTGTACATAATTTCGACAACTATGTCTGATTTAGGACACTATTTAATTTTTAAGTACATAAATCAGACAGCTTAAAATATCTAATATCTTTTACCAAATGTCTATATTTTAATAATTAATCCAATATTTAACACTAATTATACCTACATATTTTATGGGTAACCATTTTTTTAATAAAAGTTATGAACAAACTTAAATTAAATATGAACGAAAATTGTCCTACCTTATAAGAAAAAATTGTCTACCGGCAAATTGCCGGCGGCAATGGCACTGACAAGTGTTCATTTTAGGTTAGAATTAAGCGTCACTATTGTCGATAAAGAGGCAACCTGTAGTAAAGTATTTTAATTACAGTTTTCTTTGTAAAATGGTTATTTGACAATACGGTTTTTATTTGCAGATTTCTTATTAGAAATGTTTTTTTAAAACTCTGACGGATTTATGGACACTGTCTGATTTTGGGGTATTTACCTTAAGTGTAGTTCCGAGGATTTTTATTTGTACCTTTAACATTGAATTATTTATATACCTATATTTTATTGGGGGGAATTCTGATTGTACATAGTTTTGGGCCAGTCCAATGTCCCCCAAAAAAAAATGTTTTCCCTCCTTGTTCCGAACTCCACTAACCTAAATCGGGTGTATAGCCCGGCCCGGCGACAAAATTCTGGGAAGGGCCTTAACCATCGAAACTGTCATCCACGACCTTTTAAGAGAGATTTACCTGGGTGAATATTCGGATCCATGAAACACAGGTGCTGTGCAGTCGCGGGATACGTATGATAACTGAAAGTTGGTAAAAATAACTGTATGTGTATGGCGATGCCGATGGGGCCAGCCATACGTTCTCATACTCATACCTACACCAAAATTTGAGCCAACTCTCTCAACGAAAGTTTTAGTATATCGTTTCCGTAATATGAATTATCAAAAATGGATTGAAATTTTGATATTACGGGCCCATAACCTATTACGGGGATTTTGTTTTAACAGCGTTACAAAAGTTCGTAATGGATATTTATTGAATTGAACAAACAAATATGACAAATCGGACTTAATACAAAAGAAACACATTTTTTTATTAATATGTACACTACTTTATTTTGTTGTTGAGTTGCCAAGTTTAAAAGTTACAATTTTTTGTAAATTTCCCTAATGACCCTCCTCTGAAACTTGCCGCTCGGCGTCTTAGGAATTGAATCGACAAAGTTGATTCCGCCCCTTAATCTCTGCCGATCGGCAACCCGCTCCTCAACGAACTTATGCAACTCCTCGACACTAACCAACTGATCATCTTTTAAGACGACGCAGGCGGCCGGTACTTCTCCGTCAGCACCCCAGGGAAACCCGATAACCACGGCCTCTTTGATGGCGGGGTGTTCCATCAAAACCTGCTCGATGGAGTTCGGCACGATGTGCCACACTTGGTACTTGAACATTTCCTTGATACGGTCCACGATGTAAATGCACTCGTCTTCATCGTAGTAACCGACGTCTCCCGTTTTTAGGAAGCCTTCTTCGTCAAAATGTTGCGACATTTCCGAGTTGTTGTGGTAACCGTTTGGGATTGATGCTGGTTTGACCAAGATTTCCCCGTTTTGGTTGGGCGGGAGGAGCTTTCTC